TTAGTTAGTTAGTTAGTAGTTAGTTAGTTAGTTAGGCAGTCAGTTAGTTAGTTAGTTAGTACGTTAGTTCGTTAGTTAAATTATTAATTCATTATATTTTCACTGAAAATTAATTTGGATTTGTACAAAATCAATTTTTAACTTTCACACTCCTGAAAAATACTTTTTTAATACAACAGTAACTACAGTAAAATACTCTTCGATACTACAGTAACGACAGTAAAATACTTTCATATACTACAGTAACGACAGTAAAATACTTTCATATACTACAGTAACTACAGTAAAATACTCTTCGATACTACAGTAACGACAGTAAAATACTTTCATATACTACAGTAACTACAGTAAAATACTCTTCGATACTACAGTAACTACAGTAAAATACTTTTCAATACTACAGTAACCACAGTTGAATACTTGAATTTGAACTCTTCAACTCTTCAGTGAAAGAAGACGAGCTGAAGATTTATTTTAAGATCTAAAAAACAGAACCAACAGAAGCAGAAGCAGTTTGTTCACCACGTCGTTATAAATCTAATATCTAATATATAATATATAATATATAATATATAATATATAATATATAATATATAATATATAATATATAATATATAATATATAATATATAATATATAATGATCTTTTTTTATCACTGAAATAGTTTGAAGTCATTTCTGTTAAACAGCGTTGACTGTTTTATTGTCGTCACAAACAGAAGAAAGAAAGAATGAAAGAAAAGATGGAGAGATAATGAAACAGGAAGGAAGCAGCAACAGTCTGCAGGTACCGTGTGATTGGTCGTCACCTGAACTACTGAGGTCGTCTCTCTGCACTAGTTAGTGATGGAGGAGAAGTGAAACTGTCTGAACTGAGATTTGATCTGAGTCACAGGATGATGGTGATGAAGATGATGAAGATGATGATGATGATTAGGATGATGAAGATGAAGATGATGAGGATAAGGATGAAGATGATGAAGAAGATGATGAAGATGATCTGATCTTCTGATGTTCTGATCTTCTGATGTTCTGATCTTCTGACGTTCTGACGTTCTGATCTTCTGACGTTCTGACGTTCTGATCTTCTGACGTTCTGACGTTCTGATCTTCTGACGTTCTGACGTTCTGATCTTCTGACGTTCTGACGTTCTGATCTTCTGACGTTCTGACGTTCTGATCTTCTGACGTTCTGATCTTCTGACTGACATTCTGATCTTCTTATCAGCGTCTCTCATCAGTTCCAGTTCAGGCTGCAGGAACCTGCAGATGTGTTGACATGAAAGAAAAATCAAAGCAGAAGAAATGGGTCATTTTCAAGCAGAGGAAGAAGAACTACAGTAAACAACAGTGTTGATCCTCTGAACAGATACTGTGACCACAGTGTGGGTCGCAGCCCATATCCTGCGCCTACACATGCTGGTGTTTGACGGGTCTGTCTTTTATTCTGCCTCTGAAACTGAACTGATCCAGAGGAACAGACAGTAGGTGGCGCTGTAGAGTTGACTATCAGGTATCAGGTCTGGCATGTATTTGTCACCTGCAGCTGTCAATCAACTGGACAAGAATTTAAAAAAAACATAAATATATGTCAATATGTAACGGACGAGGCGCCAAACACTCACAGCTGACCTTCATGTGAGAACGTCTGTTAATATACTGTATGTAGAAAATAACATGTGTATATATATATGTACATATATGTAAAATGTGTATATATATGTACATATATGTATGTATGTATGTGTATAAATATATATGTATATATGTACAAATATATCTGTATATATGTACATATATGTGTATATGTATTTAAATATATCTGTACATATATGTATGTATATATGTATATACATGTATATGTATATACATACAGTATATGTATAAATGTATATAAATACGTATGAATACATATTAGAATGAAGCCTCTGTTTTTAATCTCTGTCATTTTTTTTTTATGCAGCTCTTTGACTTGAACTTCACCTACAACTACACTGACTGGGGTGACCTCTGTGACCTCGACCCTGACCCCGTGGAGGTCAGGGTCCAGATTTACCTCCACTGCATTATCTGTGCCTTCGGTCTGGTCGGCAACGTTCTGGTTCTCATCACCTACATGTTCTACCAGAGAACCAAGACCATGACAGACCTGTACCTGTTGAACGTGGCGGTGGCCGACCTGATCTTCGTGCTGGCCCTGCCCTTTGTCATATACAACGAGCAGAACCAGTGGTCCATGGGTGGTGTGTGGTGTAAGGTTCTGGGTGCGACCTACAGCATCAACCTGTACAGCGGCATGCTGCTGCTAGCCTGCATCAGCGCCGACCGTTACGTCGCCATCGTCCAGGCTAGGAGGTCTTTCGGGGCCCGCTCACACGCGCTGACGTACGGCCGCCGTATCTGCTCCGTGGTCTGGGTGTTGGCGCTGGCCTTGACGCTGCCCACCCTCATGTACACGGAGCGATTCGAGGAGAACAATCCTGGGGCGGACAACGCGGCGGTGAGGTGTCAGCTTCGCTTCGACAGGGAGGAGACGGCAAGGCTGATAAAGGTGCTGGTTCCTAGCCTCCAAGTTGCCATTGGCTACCTGCTGCCTCTAGTGGTGATGGTGTTTTGCTACTTCAGCATCATCTACACGTTGCTGAGGAAACCCATCAGGCGGAGACACCGGGCGGTCCACGTGGTCCTGGTGATCTTTTTGGTCTTCGTGGCGTGCCACACTCCTTATAACGTGGCGATGCTGACGCACACGCTGCCGCTGTTCACGGAGAGGAGCTGCAGGGAGGAGCAAGTCAAACTCCAAGTCCTGGCTGTTTCCAAGAGCGTGGCCTTCCTCCACTGCTGCCTCAACCCCGTCCTCTACGCCTTCGTTGGCGTCCGGTTCAGGAGCCACCTACGACAAATCCTGCAGGGATTCTGGCACTTCAGGAAACAGTACCGGTACCCTGTGGCCCAGTCACGAAGAACATCTGACCTTCGCTTCTCAGGTTTCAGGTCTTCAGAAGGAAACGGCAACATGCTGCCACCTTGTGGGGAAGGGATGGATCACGATTTTACCACCAGTCCAAACTGTGACCAAATCAGAACCGGGTCAAATCCAATCACCAACTGACATGGTCTGTGAACCTCACCAACTGACATGGTCCCATTTGTGTCCAGAAACACTGGACCATCTCCATTGATCTGCTCTGGTCAAACTGGTCAGTCTGGTCTGGTCTGGTTGACCTGGTTAACCTGGTTGACCTGGTTAACTGTCAATCTCATAACAACATATATAAAAAAATCTGAATCTGTGAAAACAAAATTAATAAAATTGTTTAAAAAACAAAAATATTTCTTATTTAAGTTTTGTAAAAGTGTAAACTGTCACCTGTTTCCTGCCTCCTTCTCTGTCGACATGAAGTGGCACTCTACCGCCACCTTCTGGGTTTGTTGATTACACAGAAGTGTCTCATCATTTCCCAGGATTCTCTTGCAGTTTTATTTAATTCCTCCAAACGCTTTTATTTAAAAAATCAACTTGAAAATCTGTGAATTTGGGGGACTGGATTTTTGGTTCTAGATTCTAGCGCTGCCTCTACAGGTATTCTAAGGAATTGTTTCAGTTTTTTTTAGTTCTTGTTTTTATTTGACAAAATGACAAATGTGTTTACAAAAACAGATCTTCATTAAATCAAACTTGATTTCACTTTTGTCAGATTTCTGACGTGTATTTTAAATATTTGACTCTTTCCTGATGAACTGACGTCTGTGGTCAATAAAGAAGGAAAACCAGTTTGAACCAGTTTGTAATGAAAATTAACTTCATTAACTCAGTGTTTACTAACGACTCTGTCAACGGTCGACCTCATCAGCTGGTCTCTGATCACATGACCGTGCTGTGATGACATCACATGACTGTTAATCATTAGCTTTATGCTAACGTCTGTATCTTATCTCAGAGCTGCTGCTAACCTTCCTGACAACAACAGTCCAAAGACAACGTCCACAGGTCAATGGAACTTCTCTAACACGACACTTCAGTCACAGGAACCGCAATGGCACAGAACCGATTCCTGTGGATTATAATCATGTTATTTATTCCTAATTTAACGGTGGGATTATTGTCCGACTACAAAATCTGTGGAGACTCCGAGTGTGAGAGTAAGTTCTCCAGCTCTGTGACTGTTCCTCTGTGACTGTTCCTC